CCCCACTGTTATAATTATGTGCTTCAAACCAGCATCAAAAGGACATCCCCAGAGTGCTCTGTGTGAATTTTCTTCACTGTATACCAGTAAACTGTCCGCAAGGTCAGCTACTTTGACTGAGGTTACCAATTTGTGCTGAATTATGGGCAATTTTGTCTTGAAGGTTTGTACCCTCTGGGAACTGAACTAAGATCAACCAAATTGATCTTTGTAGCCAGAATAGATAAAGGGGCCTTTTGCCATTAGTTTAGGATCAATCTCCTGAGATGAAAGGACAGTGTGCTTACCCATTTACTTTTTCCCAGGGTAACCATTTTAAGCCACACTCATTTTTATATAAAAGATAGACGTAACGCTTATTCAGGCGGTCGTCTGCTTTTTCAGGGGATTCCACTCAACTGCAGAAGATTACACCACCAACAACAAATTATATTTGTACAGCGTCTTTCACGTCGGGGGGACGTCCCAAGGCGCTGGACAGTCAGGGATTAAGATTTTACACCAAGACCTCGAAAGAGAGATGTGACATGCAGAAACACAAAGAGAAGGCGGGCAGAAGAGGTCGTTCTTCCAATAGACATGACAGAGTTAGTTGGTTTCTTAAATGGAAACGCTGATGCCATTGTACGAAATGCAGTACTGCAGTGTGATAACCTTCTAACATTTTTTTTTGCTCCGCAGCTTTGGCTCTTCACAAAAAATAATAATAATCATAATAATAATCCTTGCATTTGATATAGAGCCTTATCACTCTACATCAAATAGAGTGATATTTGATATATATATCAGAGCGCTTCACCGTAAAGTGAAAAGTGAATTGACCGTATAATTTTTTTGCGGGACGAAATGCGGCAGACAATTGCGCGACCCCCGCCGCAAACAGTCGGCCAATTTATTAGGATTATTATTTATTATAATTATTATCATGGAGTGGAGTCCTGTAGCTCAGTGGTTAGAGCACTCGCTTTGCAAGTGAGAGACCTGAGTTCAATTCCAGGCAGAGGGCGAAACCTTGGGCAAGTTTCCTTACTCCACACAGAGCCTAATAATATTCCCTCCAAAACCCAAAACAATAATAAATTGGTCATTTTCAATCTACGACTGTTTGTGGGACATTGCTGTGCGCAATTGGCTGCCGCGTTCGCCCACAAATATACAGTCAATTCACTTTACAGTGTGTTCTGTGAAGCGCTTTGGGACGTCCTCTCGACGTGAAAAGCGCTATATCAAATGCGAGGATTATTATTATTAGTAGTAGTGTCATTCGCGTACGGCGAAGCGGAAGGAGGGACAACTCGGACGCACGCGGCGGCCCCGCCCGCCCCCCGCCCTACCCCGCCCTGTCTGCAGCAGAGCCCTTCCCCTCCTGACCCCTCCCCCTCCAGTGAAGGTGGGGGGGGGCACCTTCCACACACCTCCACACACAGGTGCAAGTTTCGCGGCGCACGCCGGGAATCGTAGTCCCTCCTCCCCCCCCCCACCACCACCACCACACCCACGACTACAGCTCCCAGAGCGCCCCGCGCGGTCAGCAGCCGGTCCTCGCGGTGCGTGTCGGGGGTTGTAGTCGTCAGGCGCCGGGGAGGAGCGAGAGGGCGGCGGCGGCGCGGGGCGGAGGAGGACTACAGGTCCCGGCGTGCAGCGCGCGCCGCTGGGGCGCTGGGTGGGGGGTTCGTGGTCAGCTGCGGGGCAGAGCCGGCGCTGCACTGAGCACCACCACCAGCCGCAGCACAACACAGGCAATGCGCGGCAGTAGCTGCGGGGCAGCAGCTGCGGGGCAGCGAGCGCACACAGGAGGGAGGTTGCATGGGGTTGTGAAGCAGAAGAACCCGCCAGACAGAGCCCCACAGCCACAGCCACATAGATAGCTATAGCTCTCAGGTACAGAGAGGACTTTCTTTTTTTTGGGGGAGAGATACGATCAGCGTTGGAGAATGGACAGAAAGCAATGAGCCATATATATACATATAGAGAGAGAGAGAGAGGGAGGGAGGGAGGGATGAGGGGGGGAGAGAGAGAGAGAGAGAGATGAGGGAGGGATGAGGGAGGGAGGGAGAGATGAGGGAGGGAGGGAGGGAGAGAGGGATGAGGGAGGGAGAGAGAGAGAGAGAGAGAGATGAGGGAGGGAGGGAGAGATGAGGGAGGGAGGGAGGGAGAGGGATGAGGGAGGGAGGGAGGGAGGGAGAGAGGGATGAGGGAGGGAGGGAGAGAGGGATGAGGGAGGGAGAGAGAGATGAGGGAGGGAGGGAGAGAGGGATGAGGGAGGGAGGGAGAGAAAGCAGGAAGAGGATAACACAATAGTCTGAATGTGTGTGAGAGAGAGGGAGAGGGAGAGGTGGAAGAGGAAAAGCAACACAGAGAGAGAGAGAGGTGGAAGAGGATAACACAATGAGTCTGTGAATGTGGGAGAGGGGGAGAGAGCAGAAAGGAAAAGCAACACAGAGAAGGGGAGAGAGAGAGAGAGAGAGACAGAGAGTTGGGAGAGTCTTAAAGCCACAAACCTGAGAGAGAGAGAGAGAGTGAAAGAGCAGCTAAACAGAGAGAGAGAAAGAGAGAGAGAGAGCAATCAGCCCAGAGGAGAGAGAGAGAGAGAGTGTGTGAGAGAGAGAGAGGGAGTGTGTGAGAGAGGGAGTGTGAGAGGGAGAGAGGGAGTGTGAGAGGGAGGGAGAGTGAGAGAGAGAGGGAGTGTGAGAGCGACTGAGAGAGAGAGAGTGTGTGAGAGGGAGAGAGGGGGAGTGTGAGAGGGAGAGAGGGAGTGTGAGAGGGAGAGAGAGTGAGAGAGAGAGTGTGAGAGAGGGAGTGTGAGAGGGAGAGAGGGAGTGTGTGAGAGAGAGAGTGAGAGAGAGAGTGTGAGAGAGGGAGTGTGAGAGGGAGAGAGGGAGTGTGTGAGAGAGAGAGTGAGAGTGTGAGAGAGGGAGTGTGAGAGAGAGTGAGAGAGAGAGTGTGAGAGAGGGAGTGTGAGAGGGAGAGAGAGAGGAGGGCGATCAGAGCTGGGGAGAGAGATGGAGAGATAGAGGGAGGAGAGGAGAGGTTTAGTTAAGGATAAGTTTCAGATTCTCATTTTATTTCAAAACAAAAGAAAAAATCTCCTCACATTTTCTTTTGAAGTGTTGAATTTTTTGGTCGCGATCCAACCTCTTGCACTCCCTCTCTCCTCTCCCCCCCACTCCCCTCCCCCCCCCCCCCCTCCCTCTCCCCCCTCTCCCCCCCCCCACCCCTCTCTCCTCTCCCCCCACTCCCCCCCCACCCTCTCCCCACCCTCTCTCTTCTACCCCCCACTCCCCACCTCTCCCCCCCTCCCACTCCCCCACCTCTCTCCCCCCCCACTCCCTCTCTCCTCTCCCCCACTCCCTCTCTCCTCTCCCCCACTCCCCACCTCTCTCCTCTCCCCCCCCACTCCCTCTCTCCTCTCCCCCCCACTCCAACACACACTCCCCCTCTCTCTCTCGACTGCTAAGAGTCTGTGATGGTTAAGACCACCCATCCACCACTTTCCCCCCTTTCCCCCTTCATCCACTCACTCCAAAGCCCAGATCCCAGGGGCTCAGTCAGACTCCTGCTCCCCCCCCTCCTCCAAACGGGACGAGGGGATTCCCCCCCTGTTCTGGGGAAGGAAGGAAGGAAGAGCATTTGATTCTGGATCCCTGTGTGTGTGTGGGGGGGGTGTGTGTGGGGGGTTTGTGTGTGTGTGGGAGTGGGGGTGTGTGTGGGGCAGTGGGGGGTGTGTGGGGGGGAGTGGGGGGTGTGTGTGTGGGGGTGTGTGTGGGGGCAGTGGGGGGTGTGTGGGGGGAGTGGGGTGTGTGTGTGTGTGGGGGGGGTGTGTGTGGGGGAGTGGGGGTGTGTGTGTGGGGGGGGTGTGGGGGGAGTGTGGGGAGTGGGGGGGTGTGTGTGGGGGTGTGTGTGGGGGTGTGTGGGGGGAGTGGGGGGTGAGTGGGGAGTGGGGTGTGTGTGTGGGGGGTGTGTGGGGTGTGTGTGTGGGGTGGGTGTGTGGGGAGTGGGGTGTGTGTGGGGAGTGGGGTGGGGGGGGAGGAGGAGGATTTGGGGGTAAAGGACGTGAAGCCCCAGAGGTTGGTCCGGGCTGTGGCTGACCTGCTTGTGGATGGAGAGGACGAACAGTCTGAAACCTCTCTCTCCCTCCTTCCCTCCCTCCCTCCCTCTATCCCTCTCCCTCTCTCTCACTCCCTCCCTCCCTCCCTCTCCCTCTCTATCTCTCTCCCTCCCCTTTCCCTCCCTCCCTCCCTATCTCTCTCTCCTCCCTCCCTCCCTCTCTCTCTCTCTCCCTCCCCCTTTCCCTCCCTCCCTCCCTATCTCTCTCTCTCTCTCTCCCTCCCTCCCTCTCTCTCTCTCTCTCTCTCGACCACACGAAGACACCGCTTTTTATTGTGTGTGTGTGTGTGTGTGTGTTCAGGTTTAAGAAGCCGAGTGCTGCTGCTGCTGCTGGTGTTGCTCCTGGTGTTGCTGCTGGTGTTGCTCCTGGTGCTGGTGCTGCTCCTGGTGTTGCTGCTGGTGCTGCTCCTGGTGCTGGTGCTCCTGGTGTTGCTGCTGGTGCTGCTCCTGGTGTTGCTCCTGGTGCTGGTGCTCCTGGTGTTGCTGCTGGTGCTGCTCCTGGTGCTGCTGGTGCTGCTGCTGGTGCTGATGGTCGGGGCCCGTGCCGAGCCCTGGGCTGCCCCGGGGGTAGGTCCTGTCGAGGTGGGTTCGCTGGGAGACGGGATCCGGATGGAGCTGCGGTGAGGATGCGGGTCGCGAAGAACGAGCTCAGGGCGAGGGTTGTGGGGGTCGCCTTCAGCTCCGGATCAAGAGAATAAGAGAAGAGAGAGAGAGAGAGAAGAGAAAGAAAAGAAAGAAAGAAAGAAAGAAAGAAGAGGACGAACGAAAGAAAGAACGAAAGAGAGAGAGAGAGAGAAAGAACGAAAGAGAGAGAGAGAAAGAAGGAAGAGAGAGAGAGAAAGAAGGAAGAGAGAGAGAGAGAGAAAGAAGGAAGAGAGAGAAAGAAGGAAGAGAGAGAAAGAAAGAAGAGAGAGAAAGAAAGAAGAGAGAGAAAGAAAGAGACAGGAGTGGATACAAATCTTGTTGGGAACTGAAACACCACCAGACAAGGAAGAGGGATATTTTTTGTATCTTTTTCTATATATATATATAATATATATATATATATATATATATATCTCCCACTCACTCACTCACACTCACACACTCACAGAAAACAGCTACAATGGATGGATATTGCATCCCAGCCTCACTCGGTGAGATACATTTCATCTTGTGTCGAGATGGAGGAGAAAGAGAAGAAGGTGCGAAACACTGATCCGGATTTCGCTGTCTTTTGTGTTACTCTGTGACTTAGTTGTTGGTGGTGGTGGAGGAGGAGGAGAAGAAGGAAGGAAGAAAGAAAGGAAGGAGAGAAAAAGAGCGAAAGAGTCAGCCAGCCAGCGAATGGGTCGGAGCTTACAGATGTTCTCCTGCGGGAAAGAGAGAGTGAGTGAGAGTAAGTAAGGGAAGAGAGAGAGAGAGAGAGAGAGTGAGTGAATAGATAGATAGAAGTGAGCAGTCAGGAATCTGCTCTGCTCTGGTGGGACTTTTCCTGGAGGAAGGAGAAACACACGTTTGATTCACTCTCGCGTTGCTGTTTTTATCCTGGGATTTGTATTATTATCATTATTATTATTATCATAATTATTATTATCATCATCGAGTAATTGTCTGACTCCCTGTCCTGTCCTGTGGGCTGGCGTTTGCGGACAAGGAAACACACAGACAGACAGACAGACAGACAGACACACACCATGTCTCAGAGTTTGTTGCAGGGGAAGAGGTTTTTCTGCAGGGAGTGGGTCTTCCACAAGCTCCAGCATTGCCTACAGGAGAAGAACAGCAGCAGCAGTAAAGCGCCCTCTAACTCCAACCCCAACCCCAGTGGGAAGAGCCCGGCCGGGGGTCTGGGGGGTGTCCTGATGATCGGGGGTCCGGGCAGCGGGAAGACCGCCCTGTGCAGCGAGTTGCTGTGGCCCACCTGCCCCCAGCTGGTCCAGCGGGGTCTCCAGCGCCAGGCGCTCGCCTATCACTTCTGCCAGGCTCACGACTCGGACACGCTGTGCGTCGGTAACTTCATCCGCAGCCTGGTCTCCCAGCTCCGGGCCAGCCACCTGCTGCAGGGCTACGAGGAGCGGCTCCGGGAGGCCGCCCTGCACAGCGCCCTACAACCCGGGGAGTGCGAGAGGAACCCCGCAGAGGCCTTCAAGAGGTATGGTTCACAACCCGACACCCTAACCCAGTACCCACCCTAACCCAACTCCCACCCAATCACCACTCAACCCAACTCCCATCCTAACCCAGCACTCACTCCCCAACCCAACTCCCAATCCAACTCCCCACCCTAACCCAATCCGAAAGCCCTAACACCCACAACTCTAACCCCTAACCCCACAATCCAACACCCAATCTCAAATTCCCAATACCCAACCCTTTAACCCAACCCCATCCCTAACCACTAACCAACACCAGATGTTTGCAAAACTATCTTTTTAAACAAAACAAATAAGAATCTTAAGTATATGCGTGTGCTTGACGCCGACTTGTAGCTGTTGCTGTGGTGATTTGCATGCAAAGCTTATTACAAATCATATAGATAACAACAATTGCTCACATTGGAGATCTGTGATTTAAAAAATAAAATTTCTGGGAAATATTATTAATAATAATAATCCTTGCGTTTGCTATAGCACCTCAGCAAGTCTTTGAGACGTCTCAAAGCGCTTCACAGAACATGCTGTAAATTGACTGTGAACTGTTGCATCTGAAAGAGAAGTCTGGGTTTCTTGACAAGTTGATCTATCTTTCTCTTAAAAGAGCACATGTGAAGGAGTCTAAATTTGCAGTCTTTCTTATTAAGAAATCTGTGAGAGAGAGTGCCCTCTAGATAGTTGCGATCTCTACTCCAGCAGGAGATAGATAGTGTGTTGAAGTGGAGATCATCGTCAACCAGCCTCTGGTGATTTGCAAGGAGCCCCCATTTACATGATTCATGTTCCTTCTTCAAGAAGTCTAGTTAAGAACCCAAATTTCTATGTCATTACCCAAGTTGTTAGCCTGGTGCCTGTGCATTTACGATACTGTCCCATTTCCATCGGGGTTCTATGATATAATACATGATATAATATCATTCATTCTGTGCTGACTTGTATCTTGTACACCAAACTAAAAGCCATAGAGTATTATACGTGCAGTCCTGTAGCTCAGTGGTTGGAGTACTCGTGAGAAGACCTGGGTTCGATTCCCGGGCAGGGCGAAACACTGGGCAAGTTTCCTTACTCCACACGCCTCTGTTTACCTACCAGTAAGTTGAACCCAGTTATTAGTCGATTGGCAGATTGTTTTTCCTGGGGTAATAATCCCTTCAAAACAATAAATAAATTTAAAATAATCATAATTTGGTCACTCAATCCCCGACTGTTTGTGGGACGCTGCTGTGTACAATTGGCTGCCGCCTTTCGCCCACAAACTGCACAAGTCAATTCACTTTACATAATCTTCTGTAAAGCGCTTTGAGTTGTCTTGAGACCTGATAAGGCACTATATCAAATGCAAAGATTATTATTATACTGTCACTGAACTGCAGCAAGGATGTCCCACCTTCTAATATTTGTTGGGATTGGCTGAGTGGTTCGATTGGCAACTCAATCCAAATGGGTTTAAACAGTCTGGTTATTCCAATCCCCTGTTTGGTTAATTTAATTGGCTATCTTTAGACATTTGTGAAGACTAGTACAGTACCAGGGTTGGGGGTTAGTTTACTGTTCTGGTAATTGTGAGCTTTATTTTGCTTTTGTGGAAGAAGAGCTTATTAACAATTGGCTGCCCAAAGTAAGGGACATTACTGCCTTGTCCTTCACCCAAACCTATGCTCTTCTGAACAACACCATTGAATCTGGAACACTTACTTTGTGACACACCAGATGGCATGTCCTATGTCAAAGGTTCAGGCTGGGCTTCGAATTGACTTTTTACTAGTATGACACGCTTCAAACACAGCTGGGAAAAGTTGCTGTCTGTCTATAAACTGTTGCATACTTTTTTAAGAGGATGAAATTCTAGCCAGCTTGCTAATGGACGCAGTATATGGTAACGGTGGCAGAAAATCATTGAAACAATTAGTCATCCCAGGATCCAAGTACCTTTCTAAGTATATTTCTCATTGGTTTGTCCGGCAAACCACACAGTCACTTCACAGTATACCTCGTGAAGTGCTTTGAGACGTCCTTCTGACGTGAAAGGTGCTGTGTGAAATACAGTGCAAGTCGCTTTACAGACCCCCCCCCCCCCACCAATTCATTCGGATTCTTACGTGTAATAAACATGCCAGTTATTCCGTCCAACAATCCAGTTAATCCGGACAAAATGCCGCGCTGGTCACTGCTGAATGCACTCGCTCGCGCCTTCTGTGTCTCGAGCGGCTCCAGGATGGAGATGGGAGGAGTCAAATTGTGATTGATTGACAGTGGACTCCAGCCATTCACAAGCAGCTGGAGTTGGGCTGTCAATCAGTGAGGGGGGCGGGGGGGGGGGGGGGAGGTGGCGGATGGACGAGGAATAAACAAGGGAGGGAATGGGAGAAATCAGATTGATTGATTGATTGATTGACAGCTGTGGCTGCTTGGGATTGACTGGGATGCCCAACCGTTCACAGTCGGCTCCCAGGCTGTCAATCACCTTGGAGCCACCGTGAATTGGTCCCCGTCCAATGGGAACGGACGGACGAGGGAGGGCGAAGGGAGGGAGGGAGGGAGGGAGGGAGGAGGCTCAGCCCCCGCTCATCCGCTGGAACTTCGGGTTAACGTCGGCTGCCACTTAAGCCGGACAAAACGTCCAGCCCAAATGTGTCCGTCTTAACCGGCTTCCACTGTGTAAAGGATTATTACCGATCAGAAATGAAAACAGTAGTGGCTGAGAGCGCTCAGCAGGTCAGGCAGCATCTATGGAGAGAGGAAAGTGAGTTAACGTTTCGGGTCGATGACCGTTCGTCAGAACTGGGGGATGTTGGAGGGGAGTGCTTGCTGGTCCTTAGAATCTGTTTGGATTTCAGATTTCCCACCATCTGCAATATTTTGCCTTTTGTTTATTATTAGTATTCAGGTTGTGAGGATCTTGAGTAACTTTTTAATGCCCGAAGTGCACGTTCAGCTTCCCTGCCGTTTTACTCTCTCTCTCTCTCTCTCTCCCTTTTCACCTCCTCTTCTGAAGGCTTTCAAGGAATTATAGTTCGCAGAAGGTCACCTAGATATTATACTGACATGTGAACCTTAGAGCGAATGTTGGCAGGGCATTGAACCTCAGGACTCTGGCAGCAACCTGTTCTTGCCAATTTTGACACAATGCACCTTGAGCAAGCGCTCTGGGATGCTACCCTGAGTGAGGGGCGCTATGTAAATACAAGTTGTTGTTGTGATTGAATCAGTGAACCCAAGATGATCCTTCCCTAAAATGTCTTAATGAAGGGACGCTGAAGCTACTTGTAAGCTCTCTGCCACTGCTGGAATAAGCTAAGTTGGTTCAGACTAGCGATCCAACCTGGGCTCTTGCTGGTCCATGTTAGCCAGCTAGTCACTAATTAGATTTGCTAAGTTGTATGCGGAACTGTGCAGCTCTTAATTTGAAGCATGCAGCAAGTTTGTGTATGATATTGGATTTCTCCTTGCTGCCCACACTGGGATGATGCAACCCAGAGATTGATCTACTACTGCCTGACCAGAAATTGACATTGCATCCGTCGATCTTGAATTGAGCACCTTCCAGTCATGTGTCAAGCGTTAAATCAGTTGAAAGCTATTGGGGTAAAACAAAATCAGATGTGGGCATTCATATACTGGTTGTTATTGTCTAATTACTCTCATTTAGTCTTTTATACTTGTACTAGAAAAAGTATGTGCTGGAATAATACTACTAATTATAATCCTTACTTGATGTAGCTCCTTTCATGGCAAGAGGGTGGCCGAATGCGCTTTACAGAATTTATTGTAAAATGTAGTGACTGTGTATTTTGTAGGCGAATGCAGCAGTTACGTTGCATGCAGCAGTGTCCCACAAACTGAAGTGAATAACCAATTTTCTCCGGTAGATTGTTGGACCCAGGACACCAGGGAGAAACTTTTTTTTGGAAATAATGCCATGAAATCTTTTAACATCCACTTGAGCAGGCAAACGGGATATCAGTTTAAAGTATTGCATAAAAGGATGGCACCTTTGACAATGTGGTGCTTCCTCAGCATTATATTAGAGTGTCAGCCTGGTCTCTGAACTCTAAAGAGTCCAAACATTATAGGCTTAAGAAGAGAAAGTGCTACTGATTGGGCAAGACTGCATACATTAGAGTTTACATCAAGGACTGGTACAAACTCAAACCACGACCATGTGTCGTTAAAACCGTTTTACAAGTAACGACCAACAGGTTCCTGGAAAATCTCATCCTAGCCAACATTGTCGATTTTTTTTCTTAAGTTTTCTCGCCTAGGTTTACAATCATAAAATTTCTTTATTTTTGGTTAAAATGTAGATTCGGGGCAGTGTTTGTCGTGATTGTACTATTAACTGAGCTGAGAATTGTTGCCCTTCCTCTGAATGGCAGTATCACCTGTGTTTATAACCTTCTGTACAACCGAACTTCAAACCCTCGGCTTGAGTGACCTTTTTTTTGGACTTTGCGTGTATCTAATTGAATCGAGGTGTAAAAGATCAGCTGGCACACCGGGAGAATAGACGTTAGCTGGAGTAAGCTGTTTTGTTGTCAAAAGCGCTGTTCAGAATTCAGGCCAAAAAAAAAATCTTTTTTTCTGAATCTGAATGGGCATTATTTATATATTTTCCCTAGATTTTCCCATTTTAACTTGAGGTGTTCATTGCCCCATTCCACAGCAGCGGTGAGGGAGCTCACACTGGACAAAGCGAAAGCTACAGGAGGGAAATTCGACTCAATTTGCTGAAGTGGGCAATTCTGACTCAGGATCTGCTAATGTGTTAGCTTTGTGTTAAGCATGATAACCCGATCACTGTACACCTGCAAAATCATAACCGAATCCCCGTGCTGTCCTAATGTGGGTTGTGTTTAGTCTTGTGTGGTTAATTTGATTTCTTAACTCCTAAGCACCCACAACAGTGGGTGAAATTGCACACAGACCCAGACAACACAAAGTCTCTTTAAGTGTTGTCTGAAAGTAACACGTAACAGAAAAATAAAGCCTTCCGCCACGC